AACGATAAGTTTGATGCGGCAGACGAGCCATTAACAAGCAAGCTAAAGTTAAAATGTCATTGTACAACTTCGTACTAGACTCCAACATTTGTCCAGTAAAGAATTACCTTATCAGTCTTATTGTGACATCATATATATATGTACCACTACTGAGTATTGTTATTTACCAGTAGAGTTATGTTTGATGCTGCAGACGAACCATTAACAAGCAAGCTAAAGTTAAAATGTCATCATACAACTTCGTACTAGACTCCAACATTTGTCCAGTAAAGAAAAACCTTTTCGATTGATGTATTTGATCACTCCCAAGGTCTCGTAGATTAATTTACTCTTATCCTGCTTAAAAGAATTTCAAGTGCCTTGGCTATTGAGGATTCTCTCTTGTTTTAATTCATAAAAACATTGATTGATTGATTTATTCATGTTAGATATTTTTTCTATTTGTCTATTAACTCTTTCACTGCTCAAGTGGTGTGAAAAAAAAACACCCCATGCTCAAAAAAATTGTCTTATGGAATCATAGTATAGCATGCAAAAGTAAAGAACAAAACACCAGAAAGTCATATAATAACCTTTGTGTAGGCCTGGTGGTGTGCTGAGTGAGAAGGGAGCATGGGGATCTGCAACCCTCACTGACCATAAGATAAGATGGAAGGGTGAGCTGGATTTGTTTGTTTGTTTTTCAGATATGGTATCACACTCCTCTTGTGTCATGCACTGGCTCAGCATTGATCATGAATGACACAACTATATTATACAAATGTTACACTGTAAATCACTAAAATCGCTGTATAAATGCCTAATATTTACACTATATACATTTTTCCCCTCTATGTGTAGGCTTTGGAGGTGACATCTGTGGGGTTACTGGTAAGACCAAATATCAAACGGTAATGGAAAACCTAAAGTAAATTATACACAGAGCAGTGAAGGGGTTAAGGGCTGATATCACGTAAACTATGAGGGTATAAATTTTAAAAGTATTAAGAGGCGGATTAAATATTTTTTTGAAAACTATTTTTTGCAGAAATGTTTGATATGAGAAAGTGAGGAAGAAAATGACAAACAAAAGTGTTTCTTATCTCTTACACGTTTTTTGTACTGTTGTAAGTGCAACTTAAAAGGAGGGAATATATTACTTAAAATGTTTTTAACCCCAGGAGAGAGTTGGTATTAACTGGTACCGTTTAAGTCTCTTTTATTAAATTCAACCAACACATATTTTGGCCTCATTTTATGTTTTATTATTAATAACCTTCAATGAAACTTCAGCATATTTTTCTTTTAATAAAAGTACAAATTGCTGTAGAAATTACATTACGGGATCTTAACTATTTTAAATATTTTCTGAAATACAAGTTCCAATGACATGAATTTTTTAAGGTTAGTAGAGTTCTCCATGTACACAAGTTTTGTAATTTATATATTTATAGGAAGACACAATGGTTCTGAAGGATTTTTTAGAGGAGGCTGCTATTATGAAAGAAATGAAGCATCCGAACTTGGTCCAGTTGATTGGTATGGAGGCTACAAAATCCTCGAGTTAAATAGTTTCTTTTAAATTTCACGTCTTAGCAGAAACTAGTTTATGTGGACGAGTTTGTCATGTTAATTACATTCTTTAATTAAGGTTTGAAATTTGAAATGATTAGTACAGTGAGTATAAATTTGCATGCTGTGTAACAGAACTAGATGCTTGAATCATAAAAATCATTGAAAACTTGGCTGTCTTCAAAATTAAACTTGATATATTGGATATCCAATTTATCAAGTTTCCTTTTATTTACAACGGAGTACTTCCTTTCATTCTATTATGTCTTCAGAATTATTTATTGTCATTAGATGAGACACTGATTAGGCTGTTTCTTTACGGTTGCAGTAGCTTTGTCTTGGGCCAGTTTTCGTGAATATTTTTTCTATGTCAGCAAATATTGTAGATGGATGAATAGCCAGTGGGGGGATAAGTCTGAAATCATCTTTAAAACCTCAAAATTATTGTTTTCACCTTGGGGAAATTCTATAACCTTTTCATTTTTAAGAGTTGCGGAATTTGAAGTAACGTTTTTAGTGTGAGTGTGTTTATTTCTCAAGCTCGTTAGAATTGTTAACATTGATCCTTGTGCGTCATCAAAAGAGTAATTTAAAGTTAGTGCTTGCAATGTTCCAAATAATCCATCAAATCAGTCTTTTTTAAATGATTATTAAAGTTTAAGTACTAATTGACCCCTTATTTTTGGTTTGTGCCAACAAATCTAGAACAGGTAGATATGGTGCTGTAGTGTAACAACTTATAATTAGCACAGTGTGTTAACTGATTCTAATAAATATTCTCATGTTTTCAGGTGTGTGTACTAGAGAACCACCTTTCTACATCATCACAGAGTTCATGCCCCACGGTAACTTGCTGGATTTTTTAAGAAATGCTGTGAGAAATGACATCACAGCTGTGATACTGATGTACATGGCTACTCAGATAGCCTCGGCAATGGCTTACCTAGAATCGCGTTGCTTCATACATCGGGATTTAGCAGCAAGAAACTGTTTGGTGGGAGATAACCACCTAGTGAAAGCAGCTGACTTTGGCCTAGCTCGACTGATGCGTGATGACACGTACACTGCACATGCTGGGGCCAAATTCCCAATTAAGTGGACAGCTCCTGAAGGACTTGCTTACAACAAGTTTTCTACCAAGTCTGATGTCTGGGGTGAGTTCAGTTTAGAAGTGGAAATAAGTTATATTGGTAACATATTGTGTTGTTTTTGATTATTTAAAAAGTGGGCATATACCTTAATTTAGACATACACTTTCATTGTAGTAAATCCATGACTTTGCACACTTGTGTGGTCATCCAGTGTGTAACATACACTCTGTATCCAAGTATTCGAGAGATACACTGCATTACAACTGTACGAGTAGTGAAACGGCTTAATCTTATTGGCTGAGATATGTTTTCTGAGTTCTGCCTACAATCTCCTCAAATGACTATTGTTGATATTGGCATTACAAACTGTTAAAATATGGATGGAAAGCTGGATGGAATCCTAGTTATTGACATGTAAATATATTAACAACCAATGGATGCTTAGGGATGAATTAATATATCCAAGCATTAGAATATATTATGTAAATCATGTAAATGACATTAAGAACTGTAAGTGCTCTGTTGCCTCCCCTACCCCTTTACTATTTGTTCATTAGAAGTAATTTCTTATTGATTGTATTTCTTTCTCTTACTTTAGCATTTGGTATCCTTCTGTGGGAATTGGCCACTTATGGAATGTCTCCTTATCCTGGGGTTGAGCTGACAGATGTTTATCATATGCTGGAAACTGGTTATCGCATGGAGTGCCCACCAGGGTGTCCACCAAGGATTTACGAGTTAATGAGGCAATGTAAGGGATTTATTTCTCTTCAAATTTTTAATTTTGATACTGTTTGTACAGACATTATAAATTTACTTTTTGTTTCAACTACATATTTTTGCTGTCGCCACGTCGTAAAACTTGAGTTATGCCGAGCTCGTAATCAGACGCTTCTGTTAATCATTTTATACACATCTATAATTTAACAGTTAGACTTAGTTTTAAAATTTCTAGTTTATATGGCACTAGAAGAGAGAGTATATATGTGTTTCACCTACATATTTTGTTTTTTTCTCCCTCACATATTGTTATTAATATTAATCTGTAGTATTTTTCTTAACTAGGATTATGTTACAGCTGCTTCATAAGCTGATATAAAGTTTTTTTTTGTGTGTGTGTGTTTCAGGCTGGTTCTCGGAACCCCTTGATAGGCCAGTGTTTTAACTCTTTGACTGTGGGGTTAGGTACATTGCACCTACTATGTAACCATCAAAGTAACCATGAGATTAGTCATACTATAACTTTTGATAATGTATGCGTATTTTTCACGAAATTTTGCAGACTGTCAGTAAATATTACAAGGCTTTTGTACACAAAAAAAATCAAATATTTTAATTAAAGATTTGCTCGTGAAATTTTACTTTTGAAATGTTGACTATCCAACATACAAAGTGATTCTGATTTTGAGATTACAAATACTTTTCTTCATCTGAAAAGTGTGAAATTTTATTTGCATAACCTCTAAAACCTCCTAAATAATTATCAAATATTTTTTTTTAAGAAAAACTTTATATTTTATCTGTTATTTTCTCTACTCTAATTCTATACAAGGTTGGTCAATTTGACTGACCTCGTAACTGCCATAAAAATTGGGAAATCAATCTAAAGTACTTTTTTTTTTCTTTCTAGAATGATTGCATGTTATAGTTGTTTATTCTAGATAGCTTAAAGCTTGTAACAATATACATCTGTTTGTATACATTTTCTGTTTTATTGACTTTTGAATTTTGTCTAGCTAATAATCCAGCCACGTAAGTTTTAAATGTGAAGCCCATGTTACAGGGTGCATATGCATCCTTTAAATTCCTTGAAATTGAGAATGGAATTTCAAGGGCTTGAAAAGGGCCCATTTTTCTTTTTGCAAAAGTACTTGGATATTAGATTAGCAAACTATATTGATATGTCTAACGTTAATGCATGTTGCGAAGTTGAATACAATAAATAAAGTCTTTCTTTTCTTTTTAGTCTACCTTCATATATTGAACAAATAAATAAGAATTTTATAACATTTCAGTGGAATCCGATTGATTATGATGTAGATTTTAGATTCCAAAAAAGTGCTTGAAAAACATCCTGAGAGTGCTTAGAAAGTGCTCGAAATTGACCTTAGCAATTCATTATAAACCATGATGTTACTATCAAATAGTGGAAGACTGACCTACAAAATACAATTGTATTACTCTTTATAGCTTACCAGTATTTCGTAAAATAGTGACATTTTGGTTAAATTTGTTTAAATTTCAGTTATTTTTCTTAAAACATGGAACAGTAAATAAAAAATGATATATATATATATAGAAAACAATGATCTCTACTACCTACAATGTTATGAAGTGTTTTTGTACTCGTGCGTCATACTTGCTAAGCCTCGTCAAAATTCACACGTGGAGAAGGTAGACAAATTCATTTTTTGTTGATTTTGTATATGCATCTTGTAATACCAAAAAAAATCATAAATTACTGTACCAATACCCTAAAAATCCACAATAATTTATCAGGCTTTATAATTAAGCTGTATTTGGGTCTAGAAAATCTCATTTCTGGTCAAAATATCATCACATTTCACTCACCAACGGCCCCCCAGTGGCTCAGCGGTACGTCTGCGGACTTACAACGCTAGAAACTGGGTTTCGATACCCGTGGTGGGCAGAGCACAGATAGCCCTTGTGTAGCTTTATGCATAATTAAAAACAAACATTCACTCACCAATGATTATAATGGCTTTCCCCACATAAATACTTTAGGACTAACAGGATTATGTAGTTCAAAAGGAGTACTTTTGATTGGTTATAAACATGTACTTAAGAGAAGTAGGTGTAGGTAAACAAGTATTTTCCAAAAATGAAGTGGTGGGTTTGATGAATATAATATCTCGGCAAAGAGAAAAGGTAAGAGGCTCTTATTTTATATTCTAGCTTGTCAGTATTGGTAATTTGAGCTCTACTAATTCGTTAAAAACTATAGACATTGTATTGTGGGCATCATGAAATGTAATCTGAGCAAAAGCAGATGACGATGACGTAAAACACAAAAATTGATATTTAGCCATTTTTTTAAAAATATTTATTTTTTAATTAAAAAAATTAGTACATTTACTAAAATTTGAATTATAAACTACAATTTATTGACCTACATTCGTAAAATAGTAGTTTAATAAAAATTTTGAATGTAACTCTACAAAACATGATGGTACGAGCTGTGAACCCTACTCGATCCCCCTCTGAACCCCCAGTCACAGGGAAAGGATTAAGAGGTTATGTTACAGGTGCTTGGAAAAATAATATAAAGCTTTATTGTGTTTCAGGCTGGTTGTGGGAGCCTCTTGAAAGGCCAACTTTTAAACACATTCACCACACTTTAGAAACCATGTTCCAGAATTCCAGCATAACAGAAGGTAAGTTGTAGAATGGGAACTCTTTGTGTGATTAATAACTGTGTAAATTTATAAAAAAAACATCGTAAGTTAATATTGTACCAGATAAGAGGAGAAGCAAATATGGAGAAACATTATTCTTGAGTTGGTCTTATCAACGTATGCAAACGTATTTATTGAAAGTATACCGTAAACCGTCCCATACCTTATAGATTTTTAAAAATAATAATAAATTTAGCCATTTCTTTCATCTTAACCCTTTTGGATTCTATAATCGGATTTATCTGACTTTGGGGGACAAGCGGATTTACCCCACTGCGTAACAAAAACTTTTCCTCGTAGTGTGACAATCGGGATACTCGCACGTCCTTGAAATTCCCGCCTTAGTACCACGAGTGCGTACATCACCGAGCAAAAGCGCAACAAGTGGATTTTGATATTTAAAAGGTAATAAAAAAAAAAGAGATCAAATTCTATATTTTATTTATTAGTGGATAATTGACACTTTTTGAGAACCCATCCAAAATTTAATTATGCACTGCACTCAAAGGGTGAAGGTATGAAATATGTTTACTGACAGTTTTCACTGATTCTGACCTTAAATATTTTTTTTTCTTACTAATATAATCATGTAAGAAATAGACTTGGTGCTAATTGACAATATTATCCTATTATAAATTAAACTGGTTACCACCTTTTGAGTATTATCATAATAAAAAATTGATGTGTTGCCTCTTGCCAAAGTTAACCTAATAACCCTTTCCGTGATTTGCCCGAGTTAACTTAGGTGCCCTCAATGTTTCAAAGAATATTTGTCTGAGTTAATCTGGGCAAACCATTTCTTTCCGTATTTTTCATTATCCACCCAAATATATTTGGATGTTTTCGTGTATTACAATCAATGCTCACTAGATGGCGCTGCAAATGCTGTTGTGCTGATCACTGGAGAGAAAAAAGCATTACTGTAGTTTCATTGAAATATTGTATATCATCCAAATATGTAATATTTATTTATTGAATATATTCCGTGCAGAAATATAACATCATCATAAAGAAACAACTTTTGTTTCATTAGGATATAAAGTATAGGCTATCAAAAAGCACAATAAAAAAAAAACCTGATTTTTTTTTATCCAATTTCCAGAAAAAAGCAGGGAGGGAATTAAGAATAGATGTATTGTCACTTGCTAATATCATGATATAAAACTGGATATAACTTGGATTGGAATGGAATGGACACAAGTATACATATTTGTGCACTTAACACATTGACATCGAATAATGTTGGACTTGCTTTTTTTTGGGTTTGTTTGTTTTGTTTTAGGGGGGTCAAAGATCACAAAAAACATAATTTAGGGGGTTTTTTGGTTAATTAGCCATATTTTGACCAACTTGCATGGGATTTAGGTAATTATGAAAAAAATATACAAGTTTTAAGGAAATAATATATCAGTTAATGATTACTTCATTTAGATTTTACCCTAGATATGCACAGGAATGAAATAGTGTTCGATAAGTGAAGTTTTATTAGTCAAAGTTTCAAGTTATTATTTGTATTGGTAGGATACCTCTTAATTGTTTCTTGGCCTGGAAGGAAAGTGGAGCAGTTGAATCATTCTTGGAAGGTTCACTGAAGTGGAAAATGATTTTTTTTTCAGACTTTCTCAAGGAAGATATAAATTGTAATAATTTGGTGTTTTTTTTATATCTTTAAGTTAAAACTTTAGGTAATGTTATAAATGGGCCTGGCATGGCCAGGTGGTTAGGGTGCTTGACTTACAATCTGAGGGTTGCGATTTCGATTCCCCGTCCCACCAAACGTACTCGCTCTTTCAACCGTGGGGGGTGTTATAATGTGACGATCAATCTCCCTATTCGTTGGTAATAAAATAGCCCAAGAGTTGGCGGTGGGTGGTGATGACTAGCTGTCTCTCCTCTAGTCTTACACTGCTAAATTAAAGACGGCTAGATCAGATAGCCCTCATGTAGCTTTTCACAAAATTCAAAACGAACCAAACAAACATTATAAATAAGTTCTTGTTTTTGTGTTCTTCTAGCTTTGATCTATTTTTCTTTGAATATAGAATTTGTATATACATTTACATGTATCAATTCTTCTGTAGAAGTAGAGAAACAGCTCGAGAAGCATGTTCCAGTACCTTGCAGAATGTATGGAGAACGGTCACCCAGTCTTTATCAGCGTAATGAAGATTACCCATTAGCTGATCAAGGTTTCTTTCCAACTCATCCTATTTTTTTTTACATCATTTGCACTATACTAAAATATACTTAGTATTTTTAGCTTGAGGCGAGTCCTTGAGGTTAGCTTTCTTAAAACAGTTCAACATCTACTAAATGGTTGTTTGCTTGTAACCAGTAGCTCGTAGCCTTTAGTTTTAATGTAGTAAGTGAAATATTTTAGTTACATTTTTAGTAAGTAGATGGCACAACTTTGAGGAACTATATCAATAATCAAATTGCTGTTGGTAGGTTTTACAGATGTAAATACGGGTTATAACTTTTGTAAAACTACATAATTGTCCACCAAATTTTAATCCCCCCTAAGTTTACACTGAATAAAATGTGACCATTCTAAAATTTGTTTAGCTTCTCTAAAGAGAGAATATGAAAATTTGTGTATCTTTTTTTTTTATTCATGTAAGGTAAGAATTTTAAAATATTTATGGCAAAAATCAATTGAATGCAAAGTAGCATTTGAGTTTGAAAATTTTTTAATATAAATCTGTATGTTTGTTTCCCAGAAATCTGTGAAAAAATCTGTTATTGTGTATACAAAAATATGTTAAAATATTGAATGTTATGCAGACTATATGGAAGATAATACAGTGTTTTGTGCTATTGGTTAGTAACACATGAAAAAAAGTGACTAAAACTTGTTTCGGTCTCTTTGGGTAAAGAGTCACATAGAAGTAGTTATGAAATTCAGTTGCTCTAACTGTTAAAACAGTTAAGACTGAATCTGTTCAACTGTTAAAGCAGCTAAGTAGTTATGAGACTGAATCTGTTTAACTGTTAAAACAGCTAAGTAGTTATGAGGCTGAATCGGTTTAACTGTTAAAGCAGCTAAGTAGTTATTGGACTGAATCTGTTTAACTGTTAAAGCAGCTAAGTGGTTATGAGACCTGCTTTAACAGTTAAACGGATTCACTCTCGTAACTACTTAGCTGCTTTAACAGTTAAACGGATTCAGTCTCGTAACTACTTAACTCTTTTAACAGTTAAACAGATTCAGTCCAATAACCACTTAGATGCCCTAACAGTTAAATGGATTCAGTCTCATAACCACTTAGCTGCTTTAACAGTTAAACGGATTCACTAAGTGGTTATGAGACTGAATCCGTTTAACTGTTAAAGCAGCTAAGTAGTTACGAGACTGAATCTGTTTAACTGTTAAAGCTGCTAAGTAGTGATGAGACTGTTTGATTTATAAAATAACTTTCAGACACATCTTGTTGTACGAACTTTTATTGATAACATTGAAGTTAAAAAGAACCAAGATCTGATAACCTTGAAACACTTAGGTAATTATTTTTATTTAACAAAAGCAGTATTGTATTTTTTGTTTTTCATTTGCTGTTGGATTACTAATGTCAAACACATTTGAAATAATGCATATTTACACACAAAGTAAATTTGCGAGCATGAGAAGTGCAGTTAAGTATTAAACATTCTGTGCGCAAATTTTACTGAACTTTGGTTAATCACTATTTTTTAGGTTGTCATAGAGGAGGCTCTTCTAAATGCCAGACCACCCTCACTACTAGATCTACACTTGTTCAACTTCGAAGACATGGTCCTCATAACAAACCAGCACCCATACCACCAAAACGAACCAGTACCTTTCAAGACAGTGCCTACCAAGACCAGCCTTATGGAACTATTGTTGGAAAGGAAACGGGTAAAAATACCCTAAATGGCATTGAGATCACAAACAAGATAGTTAGGGAGGTAAACAGCAATGGAGAAAGGGATGGTGATTTAAGAGAGAGGACTCCTGACACTGAAGAATCGGACACTCGTACGGCAGCTTCACTTTCTAGTGTTCCAGCAATATCCCTGAATCAGCAAAAACTGAAAAAAGCAAGGACCTACTCTCCTAATAATCAGCAACATTATAACACAAAAGATAACAGTACTTCAAATAAAACAAAAGAACCCAAGAAAGTACAAGTTGTAGCTCTAGAAGTTCAAAATGTAAAACGAGCCATTAATCGTTATGGTACTCTTCCCAAGGGAGCAAGAATTGGAGCGTATTTAGATTCACTCAGACAGCATGGTCTCTATGCTGGAACCAAGTATCCTGAGCCTGTTATAGAAAGTGAGCCACAAGTTTTAAGTGAGGTTGGGTGGGAAGGTTCTACTATGCATCAATACTCGCAAAAACAAAATTTTAGCAACATAAATGCTTATAAAACAGAGACTGGAATTCATTTCTCTTCAAGATACCCACCTTCTAGCTGGCAAAGACAAGAGGGTGTTAATGGTTCATCTCAAGCTTGTCTACACAGACAGAAGTCAGATTTTACATGCTCTAAGAACAAGGAAATATTTGAAAGCGGATCTATCCCAGACTTCAGACACCTTAGTTCAAAGCCTGCTCTATCTCCTAGGCTACCTAGAAGTCGAAGGATAGGTCACAAATCTTCTCAGGATGGGAAAAATAAGGGAATAGTTTGCATGTCTCGGGAGTCTGAAAACAACCATGTAACTGGTATTGACAATTCTTCAAATGCTGGTGCTGAAACCAAACTTCAAGGCCATTTTAATAGCTACACTAGAACTCTCAATACTTCGGAATCCAGAGCTGCCGATTTTCAGTCGTCGTCACCATCTTTTGGTTCTAGTGTTTTACAAAAATCACTAAGAATAAGACCCAAAGAGAGATCACCAAGTCCTCCAAAATTCCCAATTGTAAAAAGTGGTTCAATAGATAACCAATTGAGATGGAAGACTGAGAAGGAATTTGATCAGAGTCCATTAAAATGTCCAAACACCATAACTCCACTAACTTGGAGTGCTAGTGTAGATAGTCCATTTTTTTCAGGAAAAGGCCAGAAGTATTCAGAAACTATAAAGGTATCTCAGGATATCGTTTCTCCTCCACCATCACCATGTACAGAAGGTTTTCCTTCACTTCCTGCATTTGTTAGAGATTCTGTGGATTTGTGCACAGAACAGCAGATTATGTATGAAGGCAAAGCCCCTTTACTTGCCAAGGTGGAAAACATTAGTCAAACAACGAAGAACCCAGCAGCTCATCTAGTCTTAGAACTCTTTGAGAGTCTTAAACTGAAAGCGAGAAGAAGAGCCATAGAAATGGGAGATGCGTCTTCCCAAACCACTGAAGAAGTGGAAAGATCTTCAGAAATGGCTAAAGAACAGTTGGGTGCTGCACATCCTCCAAAAAAGGGTTTGCTTTCTCCAAAATTACTTTTAAAACCTGAACCTGTAAATTGTTCAATATTAGGCTCTCAGGAAAGGAGTGAGCTTAACAAGCAGATCAGCTCAAATAGGGAAAAAGGAACAGGGAAATCGCAGTTTCATTTTTATGTACCCATCAGTAGACTAGTAAAAACACCCGAAGAAGATGCAGAAGAAGCTTCCATTTGTGATATTAATAAAGTTATACCAAAATTGAAGTGTAAAGTTCTAGAGGAAGAGAACAAACAAGAACTGGTGGATGTGTGTCAGTTAAACAAATCATTTAGCATTAAAGAAGATGAAGAAGAGAGACATAGTTCTGGAAGTATTACAAATGAAGAAAAGATCTCAGAGAAAGAGAGCATTATACAAGAATCAGAACTTAGCACTGATAGTCCTCGCATTATCAGCCCCGAGGTTATGGCACATCAACCAGAGACACTAAAAATAAAGAAAACACAGTTGCTGGAATTAGAAGAAGAAACTTTGAAATGTGGGAGTACTGAAACAGAAAGTTCATCAATTTATGTCAAAGATAATGTTACACCAAAAACATCACTGATAGTTGAACAGATAGAAGAAGTCACTAATCAAGAAGAACTTGTGACTGAATCAAAAACTTACCCTCAAAGTAACGAAACTGAAGGTCACTTGTCCCCAGTTATTCCTAAACCTGCGGTTCCACTGAAACCACCACTCAAGGATTCTCGTGCTGTGCTGTCTCCAGGTACTAGGCCCTCTAAAACAGTTAACCAGCCCTGCGTTTCTCACCAAGAAGATGTTGAAAGTTCTCCATTATCACAGGGGACCGAAGATGAGGAGACCGATGAATTTTATAGCATCACAAGCAAGAATACCATATTGGAAATCTCCACAGCCCTTGAAAATAGCATCCATTCTCTAAAAATTGCCACTTCTGTAAGTAGTGGAAATGTTATGCAACTATCAGATAAAGTGCAACTCTTTCGATCTTCCTGCGTAAACTATGCAGAGAGTATTTCACCACATGGGAAGTTTCGTTTTCGCGAACTATTGTCTAAACTAGAAAAGCAGGGAGAACAGTTGCCTACAAGTAGCAGTAATAACAGTGTATCTAGTTTCAGACTTTTTGATGAATTACAAAATACTGTGAGAGACTTAGTAAACATAGTACAGAGATGAACAATTGGGATAGTGTATTAAAAAAAAAGTTACTATTATGTAAAGTTTAGGGGGGGTAAGCTTATGGATTCTAGTTAACAGTAAGTTTGACTTACCTGGTTATCTAGTCTTAACTTTGCTCATTAGTGGAGTTAACAGAAATAAATCAACTACCTGACTCTTTGTTACTATAGTTTTAAATGGGAAAAGCAATGCGTTTACCACTTTGATGTTGTGAGGGGGAAACTGAGTTTTGTTTCATAACATCATAGGTCATAGATGTTGTACGTTCCCTTTAAAAAAAAATAGCACCACAAAGATGACCTAGAAGGAATGAAGTAAACAATGTGTGTGTGTGTGTGTGTAGGAAAGTAATAATTTAGAGTTTTCTACTGTTGTATTTCCAAATACAATAAGATATATTTCTTGTTCCAATCATCATTCTTTTCATTCCTCAACTGTTGTCAATTAACATAATGTCCCAAACAAATCATTTTTGTGGTTTACAAATTGACGTCGTTTCAGACTCATAGTTGGGAAGTACTTTGCCTCACAATGAGGCTTTATATACTTGAAATTGTCTGTACTTGGTGAAACTCCATAATTACAGAATTGAGTAAATATAAGACAGTTGCATGTTTCACAAATACATAATTTATTACGACCATGGTTATGCCATGATGATGATGATGATGCCTTTACTGGTCGTAATAAATGATGTATTTGTGAAACGTGCAACTGTCTTGTTTTTCCTCAATTCTGTAATGAGGCTTGAGTTGTATTTTCTCCAAGAAATTGTACGGAAAAAAGTTTAATTTGCATTATGACGTAATTCTGGTCAAAAGATGACTTAATCATGTGTGTATCATTTCAAGAAAGTGTATTATATAATCTACTTTATTTTATCCTTTGTAAACAAGCATGTGAATATATTTATATTTGTGTATTTAATTAAGTTAAAGTAATCCTGTGATTTTTTTTTTACTTCTTTTGTTTGTAGTTAGTGGATTTATTGCTACTGCAAGTGGACATGGTTATGTTTTCACCCCTGTGTGTGTGTGTTGGTCAGCAAGATTTCTCAAAAACAGTTGAATGGGCTTAGACAAAAGTTGATATATATATACATTTGGACTATGACCCAACTTAGAAGTGATTAGTTTTAGAGGGTCAAAGTCACGAAAATTTAAAAAAATTCCCTATCTGTTATCTTGGGGACCGATTTCTGCCTTATAACCCAGTCTAAAGTGATCTGATTTTGATGAAACTTGGTGGACATGTGTAGAATATTATTCCTCGTTGTCGTGCTAGAGACGTTCCGTGTCCATTGATAACAACGGACACATTTTTGTATTTTTGGAGAACCAAATTCGATGAACGATGCGTGGCGGAGGTGTGCGCTCTACTGAGTGCCCCCCCGAGTTTGAACCTAGAATACTCTCTAGTTTGTATTTTATACATTTGTTTTTAGGCAGAAGAGTAAGTTTTGAAGTAGTTTGTAGAACAAATTGAATCATTGCGACTTTAAAACTATAAATGTGTTTAGAAAACAGTGTTACGTTTTTCTATCTGTGCTTGGAAATAATTCATAATTTGACTTTTATTGTATAGTATTTTCGATCTTTTGAGCTACATTTAGTACGGATAACTTATTTTCTCTTCATAAAACTCCTTCAGTGGAACAGTGGTAAGTTTACAGACTTACGATGCTAAAATCTGGGGTTCGGTTCCCCACTGCAAAAGTAGTAGATAGCACAATGAGGCTTTTTTTTTTCTAAAAAAAAATTCATTCTTGATAAAAAAATTTGCTCAAAATCATTAACACAAGAATTAAGTTTACATTCCATCATTAACACAAGAATTAAGTTTACATTCCATCATTAACACAAGAATTAAGTTTACATTCCAAACATCATAATTGCTAATAAATTACCATGACAACAAACGTTTATGCATAAAAAAAAATGACTGGTTGCAAATAAATGTAGAAGATCCTTTTTGGAATTTGGATATGATGTTGGTGAAATCTGTTCTGATCTGTAGGTGGCGGTTTGTGTAACTGATGGTAATTGTTATCAAGTGTTTCTTAATTGACCCCATACACGTTTCCAGAACGAAGAATATAATAAGATCTTGACCACACACTACTGCAATAATACCCTTTTTACGGAGGTTTCGGGCATTTGTTTGTTAGATTTCGGGCCGAGCTACATCCTTAATTTTGAAGTGACAGACTTAAAAGGTATAACTAGTCAACATCACCCACTGCCAACCCTTGGGCTGCTGTTGTCAGACTTGAATAGTGGGATTTAACTGTCGCTCATAGAACACACCCATGGCCCCCAAGTTCCAGTAACAGGGAGCAACTCACGGGTTCTCAGCTCCAAAGTCTGGCACACTAACCATTGAGCTGTATTTGGCCTGGTTTTACGCGTTGCATGCCCAATTGACCCGACGACCTTTGGTATTGATTAATAGGCCTAATCAGCAATAATATGGAGCACAAGATGTGCTGTCAAGATACCTTTATATTCTTCTTACTGTAAACCTGTATAAGGCCAGTTAAGAAAAATTTGTTTAAAATTAACATCAGTCTTGCTGTGAGGCAATGTCATGCAAACCACCAATTTTGGGTATTATTCTGAAACCAGTTCGTGGCTACAACAGAATTCATGAATTTTTCCTTGGGAACTTAAGTGTTAAAAGGCTCTTCTGAGGTTCATTTAAATATGAATACATAACCACGGTGTCACAACGTTTCTAAGTAGTTTTTAGGTGGTAATGTTAAAAGGGGAAGAATGGTAATAAGTTGCCCCTTTGACCCAGTCAGAAACATGTACTCATGGTAACCATACAGTGATGAACCAATCAGAAACATGTACTCATGGTAACCATACAGTGATGAACCAATCAGAAACATATACTCGTGGTAACCGTACAGTGATGAACCAATCGGAAACATGTACTCATGGTTACCATACAGTGATGAACCAATCGGAAACATGTACTCATGGTTACCATACAGTGATGAACCTATAAGAAACATGTACTCATGGTAACCGTACAGTGATGAACCAATCAGAAACATATACTCCTGGTAACCATACAGTGATGAACTTATTAGAAACATATACTCATGGTTACCATACAGTGATGAACCAATCGGAAACATGTACTCATGGTTACCAAATAGTGATGAACCAACGAAAAACATGTACTCACGGTTATGTACAGTTTAATTGTTAGTTTTGTTTAAGTTTTCTTGGTCAGACGAGTGAAAAAAAGGCAAACTATTCATACTACCATATAATTTACTGATTTTCAACACTTCCGTGAAACTCAAGTAATTGTTAAGAACTGTTAATAGTTAAGGGAATATAGCATATTGTTTATAATCCTAAAACCTATTGTTTTGTTGTAATATCGTCATATTTTTGAACTACTTTTATCTCTAACCAGTGCATTTAATAACACAGTTTTATCTACATTCTTCAAAACTCCCGTTTATTTCTTGTAAGGATTTTATGATACTATTTGTAACGTTTGAGATATGTGTGTGTGTATATTTAAGAAACGGACATAACAACCATCAGTGATTGTATGGGTGTTTATCAGGAACATAGTTAGTGTTACGAATTGTATGTCTTATGTGTATCAGAAACATGGCAGACATGAACAGTTGTATCTAGGGTATTTCGGGAACAGAGTTAGGGTAACCAATTATATGTCTGATTACTTATCTGGTGTGTCTACCTGAAACAAAGCAACAGTCGTGAGTTGTAACTGGTGTACCTATCAAAAACACAGGCAGCAACAGTAAACCAGTTTGAATAGATAGAAAAGGCTGATACGCCATGAAACTGACTTTTTTCGAACATCTCTTTGTACTCTGTAACACTTGTTTTTTTTTCTTTATTTGTCGCTGTTTAACCTTTATACATAAAGTATTAACACTTGTATATTTGCCCCCCAGTAGCACAGCGGTATGTCTGCGGACTTACAACGCTAGAATCTGGGTTTCGATACCCGTGGTGGGCAGAGCACAGATAGCTCATTGTGTAGCTTTGTGCTTAACTTAAAAAAACTTGTATATTTATTTGTCATTTGAATATATATATAGACGTTGCTGTATATTTTCATAGATACAAACACTTTAATCTTCACTGATAAACACACTCAAGAACTAAACTACTTAGATGATATCAGAGTTTGATTAAATATCGTATTTTTTGTCGTTTTCTAAGGAAGACGAGAAGGGTAGAGCAACGAATGGAATGTTCTCTTGTCTCGTCAGTATTTTATACTGGTCACCTTCGTTTCGCTATAACACCTTTTCTTTAGTTAACTCCTGTGTTTTTGATAAAGCGTAGATAATAAAAGATGTTTTTTTTATACTCCATTAAAATGTAATACTGGGTTTTTAATCTCAAATGCGAAACACATAAAATGGAATTACCGCATGCACATAAGATACTGTATCTAACAACTCCTTACAGATTGAATAAAGCCATTAGTTGTATCAGATATTTGCCAAAGATGAAAAAACCGTAAATTCCGTCGAGATGAAAATCTGTACAATTATATTGTGCCAGATAGGTGCCGAACGTGTCATAAAGTCGTATATTTTGTACAAAACCTAAAAAAAAAAAAACTTGTATCGGTAGAGATGCAGGACGAGTCATAAAGTCGTACATCAGTGGCATCTTCGATTGGTTTGGAATTCCACTTTTGACACCGGTTATGGCTCCTTTATTCAAACAGATTATGTTAGACGACTATAAGAAGCGATTGTAACATTGTTTAGAAGCTATTTTTCATTTAATCACGATTTCTGTAAATCCTGCGTTTTTGGTCACTACTGAAATAATATTACAATCATATTTTTCTATCCACCATTTTACCTATAATGTAGAGGCCTGGTGACTGTAGTTTCGCCTACTGAACACTCGTCGCATTCCAGTGGCAAGTCTGCAGGCTTACGTCGCTAAAAATCGGGTATCGATACCCGTGTTGAACACAGCACAGATATCCCATTGTGTAGCTTTGCGCTTAACTACAAATAAATTAAATATTGACTATAACTATGGACTGTTTTGTTTTCTTTATTACGTAAAAAGTAACATTTCGATAAAGAAAAACTTCTGCGTTTTTGAAAGTATGGGGTTAAAGAAAAATGACCAGTTTTTTTTTTGTTGTTTTTTCTTATGTTAGTTGGATTACTCTTTAACAGAAAAGTACTAATCCTGTAACTGTGTTAATAAATATAATAATTCATTTTAAGACAAAAAAAACTTAAACCAATCATTATTCGGGTCGCCTCGTGATTTAAAGTTCAACCAATCAGAAGCTGCAAAAGTTCCTATTCCACGCCCATCTATAGACTGATATTTCAAATAACCTTACAAAACATATAACTGAGTAATAAATATGAATGAGACTCTACGGAAATTGGGATATGTCTGAAATTTATCTACCACAAAAAATTCCATCTTAAAGAATTTGCCGTCCTATTCTGTTTCGATGCTATACAACCAGATTTTGAGATTTGTGTGTTATATTTATTGGTGTAATTTTGTGAAAGGTGTCCCGTAGGAGATATATATATATATACATGAATAAAATTTTACACTAATAATACGTAGATTCTTATACGATTTTGCACTTTTCTGAAGTGTTAAAAATTAAGAACAAATAGGACTGAAACCCCTAGTCTCTAATAAACTATCTATATCACGTTTTACCCATTTAAGGCCCGGCATGGCCAGGTGGTTAGGGCACTCGACTCGCAATCTGTGGGTCGCGGGTTCGAATCCCCGTCACACCAAACATGCTCGCCCTTTCAGCCGTGGGGGCGTTATAATGTTACGGTCAATCCCACTATTGGTTGGTAAAAGAGTAGCCCAAGAGTTGGCGGTGGGTGGTGATGACTAGCTGCCTTCCCTCTAGTCTTACGCTGCTAACTTAGGGACGGCTAGTGCAGATAGCCCTCGTGTAGCTTTGCGCGAAATTCAAAACAAATACCCATTTAGAAAATTACAGGGTGGTTCTGGTATTCGAACACAGTTCATACCATTTATTGCAAAGTCGGTTTATGGGAAGCAAGTTGAAATCGCTCAGTTTTAGTTTTAATTTCTTTAGAAAAACAAACAAACTAGCTTTTGATATATTTTTTTTAATTAATGCCGTCAGTAGATTCGCTATTAATAGAAATATACTAGACCACCCGTGACCCGTTGGGTCACCCACTATTCAGTGGTTATGAAGAATTCAGGCTAATTTCAATATTGCACCGAAATGAAGGTTTATTTTGAGATAATTTAATTAAATATTTCAATCCATTCGTGTTATACATAATTCAAGAAAAGATATTTGATTGTTGATCGGGAGTAAAAAAAAATACCACTTCAATTTTCAAAAAAGTG